AGAACCTAACGGGTAACCGGGGCTCCGGCTCGACGTGCAGGAGAAGGAACGGGGTGGTTTTTAGTCAGTAAGAGTCTGACACTCCCTCCCGCCTCACCCAGGCGGGGGCAGTCATTCGATGATTTTCCCCCCTTAAAAAATTAAAAAAAAAAAAGTCCTTGATTGTTATGATCTCATCATCAACCCTTAACTGTGAGACTATTATAGACTTCTTCCATGTAAGAGGTTTGGCAAAACCTTTGCGCTTGACGGCGAATTTGAGATCATCTTATTTTTTTTTGTTTTTCTGTTTATTTGTTTGAACGCGCTAATCTCCGTAACTACAAGTCTGATTTGAATAATTCTTTTTGTGTTGGATATCGCATTGATCGAGGATGGGTATAGGCTATAAAACATTACGCTACGATCAATAGGAGCTGAGCAGAGCGTGTGAAACCGCGCGGAAGTAGCTAGTACTATTATAATTATAAAGCTGAATAGTTTGTTTGAACGCCCTAATATCAGAAACTACTGGTCCGATTTGAAAAAATATTATTGAGTGTAATGTTCTTGTGTAATATGCCCCTTTGCTTACCCCTTCGGGGATAAAAGGCGTGATGATATTTTTTATTTTAAAAAAATATCTGTTGTCTTAGTTTTAATAATTTTGTAATTACTTAAGGGGGCAGTAGAATACCAGCACAAGGCCCTGTCTTGCACATGCTGAACTGGTCCCATTTCACCGCAGACGTGGGACATGAACGTGTATCCTTCAGTACCTACCAATAGAATATATAAATAACACATGTTTACATGCCACTTGTTTTTTAGCGTGAAATAAAGTTTATTTTCTTTCATTCTTTCTATACTTCCAAAATTTCTTGTAACAATTAACTTTGTAAAATTATTATCACATCTAATTACCATACTTATTTATTTATAACTTCATGTACCTACACCACACAGACAATATTACAAAGGACGACAATATTACAAGCATGAGGTACATAGGTAGATACTTCGTGCAAATTGGAGTGGAATTCTTTACCAGAGTCTTTTCTTGTTTCCTGAATGGTATATATGTATAACCTGGATATCTTCAAGGCCCGAGTGAATAGGTAGCTTATGGGCAGATGCGCCCCATAATAGGACTCATAATCGCTTACCACCAGACGAGACAGTGGTCAAACGTCGTCCCATCAAATATAAAAAAAATAAAGAAAAAAACTTATTCATATTCCACGCGCCACTTATATGCGACTTGCTTTCTGCAGGAACTTACGACACAAGAGTTCCCGTACTATCAGTCTCAGAACAATGAGAGTATAGGTATCGTCTGCTTGCTTATGAAGACGGTCTGCTGGATATCTATGATGCTGCCCTTCATATTCCTCATGGGCCGGCTCCTGCAAGAACGTGCCACCGGCATACAGGTACCATTTTACATAATTATAACTTTGACATGTGTGTATGTATATTTGTCCGCGATTGTCTCGCGATCAACTGAACCGATTTTGATGTAGTTTTCAGAAAAGTGTTCGTTACAGTTAGGAGACGGTTTTAGTATAAGTATTAATAAACCGGCTCCAAAAAAGAGGGGGTTTAAGTCGGGTTTCTTAACGTAGTTTAAAGGAATTGCTATTAATTTCAATAACATGGAACTTTTAATTGACCGATAATTAAGCTACTTGTGATAAATATGGCTGATTAATGTCCAAATTCTTAAGCGACACTCAATTTTAAGGTGCGCTTAAGTGTAGTTACGTCAAAATTTAGTAGCCTTTCAGTATTCGGGCGAAAGTTTCTATTAATCCTAAGTAACAGATAATTTCACTGCTACACAGTTACAGTCGTTGCACGAAATGTTTAATTAGGCTAACAAACAGTTAATAAGGTATTGTACAACAGGACCCCAACTTATATGATATTTAAACTTCAACCTGCTTCAGCTTTTCATTGAATAAAAGTTAATCACATGTTATTTATTGTTGTGTTTTCTTATCTTACAGGAACTGATAAAAATGGTGGGAGTTTCTCAAAACATTCTAGGGTTATCACACTTCCTAAACGTGTTGCTGAGCGGGCTAGTATTCTCTATCGGAGGTACCATACTACTGAAGACGACCTCCAACCCTCTCATCAACAACTCCAACGGATTCCTCATATTCCTGATGCTGCTTCTCTATTTCAACACTATCATGGCCATGGCCTTTGTCTGCAGCTACGTTTCGAAAGGAAGTAAGTCGATTTTTGCCTCCCTTCGCTGAGCCTAAGTAATTTACCGTAATCACTAAAAAGTAGGGGTCTGCCACATTTTTTCAGTGTATAGAGCGACAAACGAGCTGAAGGATCCACCTAAAGAGAACGAGGCAACACAAGTTCGTTACACGGCTTTTGAGGTTAGGAATTTTAGGATTGGTAGAAGAGTTAGGTATAAAGATGGTTGGCAGGCCACAACTGTGCGCTTCTCATGTAGCTTTCTGCCTCGGACAGCAAAACTGTGGAATGATCTGTCGTCGGTGGTATTTCCGAACCGATACGACCTTTAAGAAAATAGCGTACTTCTTTTTAAAAGGCCGGCAACGCACCTGTGTCTCCTCTGGGGTTGTAGGTGTCTATGGGCGGCGCTGATCGCTTACCACCAGGTGGTTCGTCTGCTCGTTTGCCTCCTATATCATAAAAAAAAAATTTAGGTCTCTGGCAAAACACAACACAAGCGGTTCACAGTTGCTGTGCACATCACTTACCTTCTTTCTGTAGCCATGTTTGTATGTGTCCACAGCGCAGTACGTGGCGACGCTGTCAGTGCTAGCATACATCGTGCTGTGGATCCCGGCGCGGGTGCAGCTCGAGTACGACCTGCCGTACATTGTCACACTAGCCACTGGGCTCCTGCCACACGTGCCCATGCACTGGTTCTGGGCGGAAGTCTCTGTGCTCGAGATGTATGGTGAGTAATGTTTTATCATAATTTAACTAGCTATGTTAAGGGAAGTTCAGTTCCCTAAGATCGGAAAACGAGGATTCTCCTACCAGGCGAGGTGATGATGCTTGGCGGGTTACGGAAAATGTGGTGGAATTACGCTACTGGAATAGATCAAATTGATCAAGTTACTGTTCTAGTTCACAAGACCAATCTATATGACTATATTTTTAACATCTTTCATTTTCCTGGCTGCCTCATTGGCCGAGTGGTCGCAAGTGCGACTGCCGGACAATGGGTCTCAGTCAGAGCAGTCAGGCAATTAGTATTACTGGGTTTTTAAAAAATCTCAGTATTACGGAGTTTGGAAATGTGCCCGATAAAAGGCAATAGGGTCACTCCCTATTACATGGGACTCATAACATAAATAGTGAAAAGTGGGTGTTACATTGTACAGTGGCATTAAGTTCCGTAATGTGCACTTCTGTCTACCTCTTTAGGGAATAAAAGGTAAAAGGTGGTGTTATGTCATTTCCCTGTATGTATTATAAGCATGTTCCTTCGTCACAGGTAGTGGAGTATACTTCAGCAACATGCTAACAGCGAAATCAAACTCCAACGTCTCAGTATTCCTGTGCTTCGTGTTCATGTTGCTGCAGGCCGGGCTGATGTACGGTCTAACCTGGTACCTGTCCCTGGTGGCGCCAGGCCAGTACGGACAGGCTCTTCCCTGGAACTTCCTCTTTAAGGTACTTCTTATATTTGGAAGTGAAGTGAAGAGAGAGATTGGAGGAATGTGTTTATTATTTCATAATATAGGAACATGTTCTGTTTGGGCTACTGGGCTAATCAAGAATTTATCGGAAGTTTTTGAGACTGCTTGTGTAATGGTGCGTCCACACCTGACGAATGCGCTGCTCGCGGGATGCTCGCAAACTCACGTGTCTGGTACATTCGCAAGATGTGGACGCACCATTAGATCACACCACAGTCATAGCATTATAATAAAATGTCCTATATGACACTCTTTTACATCATCATTGTCATATTGACATCCGCACAGCGTCTCTTAAGAACCATGACTGTGTAGTCGAACTATTTATGACCTCCAAACAGAACATTCTCATTTTATTATAAGAAAATAGCATTATTTAACTCCAATCAATCCAATTTATACCTTAACGTTCCCATATAGGCTCTGTTTTCCTTTATCTTCCCTCCACTTTCAGCGATCTCGCAAGATTAAAACGGAGAAGGACTTAAAGAGTGTAGATTCGTATGATATGTTTTCATACCCGATACGGTACATACCCAGCTATGAAGTGAGAAGAATTTTAACGGCTGTTGAACTGGAGAACCAATTCACGCATTATAACGTAACAGATGTTAGTACTACCGATTATTTTGTATACTAATACTGAAATGTAGTGTAGGGCAGGGTAGGGCGCCCTCCAGCTAGGTGGAGTGACGACATCCGCATGGTGGCTGTCAGTGGTTGGTTGAGAAGATCTGAAGACCGAGTTCAGTGGCGTGCCATTGGAGAGGCCTATGTCCAGCAGTGGACGAATACATGCTGATGATGATGAATACTGAAATACGCAAACGTCACTCAATATTAAGTCGTGCTTAAGTATCTGTCTCTACAAATTGTTTGTAAAATGACAGAGACGACACGATGTTTAAGCACAATTTAAAATTAGTATTCGGGCGTACTTCATACATACACGTCCAAATAATAATTATTATCCTTACTAATATTATAAATTGGAATGTGAGTTTGTTTGTTTGTTTGTTTGTTCCGCTTTCACGCCGTAACTACTAAACCGATTGCTTTGAATTTTTGCAGACGTAAAGTTAGAAGTCTGAATTAAATAATAGGGTACTTTTTATCCCGGGAAAATTTGATTTGATTCCCAAGGGAAAACAAACGTATTGGTATAGATGGCGCTATGTGTATTGGTATATGTCACATAGGCTACTTTTTAACCTTATGTGACGCGAGCGAAGCTGCGGGTAAAAGCTAGTTATCATATAAAACGTACTGTCATTAAAATAACCAATCCCTACTGTCCCCGCAGCTGTCGTAGTAGTTGACATAATACA